AGGCTCTAGACCCTTCCAGAGCTGAGATATCGAAACTCAAAATTTCGACCCGAAAAAAAAAACGACAGTGTTACCCCTTACGTTTTTTTTTTGGGCGAAAAATTAAGTATCCCCAATCTTCTCAAAACTCTGGATTCTGATAGAGGGCCATGAGACTTAGACCTGAGTGCAAAAATGGAGGCTCTAGACCCTTCCAGAGCTGAGATATCGAAACTCAAAATTTCGACCCGAAAAAAAAACGACAGTGTTACCCCTTACGTTTTTTTTTTTTGGGCGAAAAATTAAGTATCCCCAATCTTCTCAAAACTCTGGATTCTGATAGAGGGCCATGAGACTTAGACCTGAGTGCAAAAATGGAGGCTCTAGACCCTTCCAGAGCTGAGATATCGAAACTCAAAATTTCGACCCGAAAAAAAAACGACAGTGTTACCCCTTACGTTTTTTTTTTTGGGCGAAAAATTAAGTATCCCCAATCTTCTCAAAACTCTGGATTCTGATAGAGGGCCATGAGACTTAGACCTGAGTGCAAAAATGGAGGCTCTAGACCCTTCCAGAGCTGAGATATCGAAACTCAAAATTTCGACCCGAAAAAAAAAACGACAGTGTTACCCCTTACGTTTTTTTTTTGGGCGAAAAATTAAGTATCCCCAATCTTCTCAAAACTCTGGATTCTGATAGAGGGCCATGAGACTTAGACCTGAGTGCAAAAATGGAGGCTCTAGACCCTTCCAGAGCTGAGATATCGAAACTCAAAATTTCGACCGAAAAAAAAAACGACAGTGTTACCCCTTACGTTTTTTTTTTTTGGGCGAAAAATTAAGTATCCCCAATCTTCTCAAAACTCTGGATTCTGATAGAGGGCCATGAGACTTAGACCTGAGTGCAAAAATGGAGGCTCTAGACCCTTCCAGAGCTGAGATATCGAAACTCAAAATTTCGACCCGAAAAAAAAACGACAGTGTTACCCCTTACGTTTTTTTTTTTTGGGCGAAAAATTAAGTATCCCCAATCTTCTCAAAACTCTGGATTCTGATAGAGGGCCATGAGACATAGACCTGAGTGCAAAAATGGAGGCTCTAGACCCTTCCAGTGCTGAGATATCGAAACTCAAAATTTCGACCCGAAAAAAAAACGACAGTGTTACCCCTTACGTTTTTTTTTTTTGGGCGAAAAATTAAGTATCCCCAATCTTCTCAAAACTCTGGATTCTGATAGAGGGCCATGAGACATAGACCTGAGTGCAACAATGGAGGCTCTAGACCCTTCCAGAGCTGAGATATCGAAACTCAAAATTTCGACCCGAAAAAAAAACGACAGTGTTACCCCTTACCTTTTTTTTTTTTGGGCGAAAAATGAAATTTCTCAAATCTTCTCAAAACTCTGGATTCTGATAGAGGGCCATGAGACATAGACCTGAGTGCAACAATGGAGGCTCTAGACCCTTCCAGAGCTGAGATATCGAAATTCAAAATTTTGACCAGAAAAAAAAACGACAGTGTTACCCCTTACGTTTTTTTTTTTGGGCGAAAAATTAAGTATCCCCAATCTTCTCAAAACTCTGGATTCTGATAGAGGGCCATGAGACTTAGACCTGAGTGCAAAAATGGAGGCTCTAGACCCTTCCAGAGCTGAGATATCGAAACTCAAAATTTCGACCCGAAAAAAAAAACGACAGTGTTACCCCTTACGTTTTTTTTTTTGGGCGAAAAATTAAGTATCCCCAATCTTCTCAAAACTCTGGATTCTGATAGAGGGCCATGAGACTTAGACCTGAGTGCAAAAATGGAGGCTCTAGACCCTTCCAGAGCTGAGATATCGAAACTCAAAATTTCGACCCGAAAAAAAAAACGACAGTGTTACCCCTTACGTTTTTTTTTTTGGGCGAAAAATTAAGTATCCCCAATCTTCTCAAAACTCTGGATTCTGATAGAGGGCCATGAGACTTAGACCTGAGTGCAAAAATGGAGGCTCTAGACCCTTCCAGAGCTGAGATATCGAAACTCAAAATTTCGACCCGAAAAAAAAACGACAGTGTTACCCCTTACGTTTTTTTTTTTTGGGCGAAAAATTAAGTATCCCAATCTTCTCAAAACTCTGGATTCTGATAGAGGGCCATGAGACTTAGACCTGAGTGCAAAAATGGAGGCTCTAGACCCTTCCAGAGCTGAGATATCGAAACTCAAAATTTCGACCAGAAAAAAAAACGACAGTGTTACCCCTTACGTTTTTTTTTTGGGCGAAAAATTAAGTATCCCCAATCTTCTCAAAACTCTGGATTCTGATAGAGGGCCATGAGACTTAGACCTGAGTGCAAAAATGGAGGCTCTAGACCCTTCCAGAGCTGAGATATCGAAACTCAAAATTTCGACCCGAAAAAAAAACGACAGTGTTACCCCTTACGTTTTTTTTTTTGGGCGAAAAATTAAGTATCCCCAATCTTCTCAAAACTCTGGATTCTGATAGAGGGCCATGAGACTTAGACCTGAGTGCAAAAATGGAGGCTCTAGACCCTTCCAGAGCTGAGATATCGAAACTCAAAATTTCGACCCGAAAAAAAAACGACAGTGTTACCCCTTACGTTTTTTTTTTTTGGGCGAAAAATTAAGTATCCCCAATCTTCTCAAAACTCTGGATTCTGATAGAGGGCCATGAGACTTAGACCTGAGTGCAAAAATGGAGGCTCTAGACCCTTCCAGAGCTGAGATATCGAAACTCAAAATTTCGACCCGAAAAAAAAAACGACAGTGTTACCCCTTACGTTTTTTTTTTTGGGCGAAAAATTAAGTATCCCCAATCTTCTCAAAACTCTGGATTCTGATAGAGGGCCATGAGACTTAGACCTGAGTGCAAAAATGGAGGCTCTAGACCCTTCCAGAGCTGAGATATCGAAACTCAAAATTTCGACCCGAAAAAAAAACGACAGTGTTACCCCTTACGTTTTTTTTTTTTGGGCGAAAAATTAAGTATCCCCAATCTTCTCAAAACTCTGGATTCTGATAGAGGGCCATGAGACTTAGACCTGAGTGCAAAAATGGAGGCTCTAGACCCTTCCAGAGCTGAGATATCGAAACTCAAAATTTCGACCCGAAAAAAAAACGACAGTGTTACCCCTTACGTTTTTTTTTTGGGGCGAAAAATTAAGTATCCCCAATCTTCTCAAAACTCTGGATTCTGATAGAGGGCCATGAGACTTAGACCTGAGTGCAAAAATGGAGGCTCTAGACCCTTCCAGAGCTGAGATATCGAAACTCAAAATTTCGACCCGAAAAAAAAACGACAGTGTTACCCCTTACGTTTTTTTTTTGGGGCGAAAAATTAAGTATCCCCAATCTTCTCAAAACTCTGGATTCTGATAGAGGGCCATGAGACTTAGACCTGAGTGCAAAAATGGAGGCTCTAGACCCTTCCAGAGCTGAGATATCGAAACTCAAAATTTCGACCCGAGAAAAAAAAACGACAGTGTTACCCCTTACGTTTTTTTTTTGGGCGAAAAATTAAGTATCCCAATCTTCTCAAAACTCTGGATTCTGATAGAGGGCCATGAGACTTAGACCTGAGTGCAAAAATGGAGGCTCTAGACCCTTCCAGAGCTGAGATATCGAAACTCAAAATTTCGACCCAGAAAAAAAAACGACAGTGTTACCCCTTACGTTTTTTTTTTTGGGGCGAAAAATTAAGTATCCCCAATCTTCTCAAAACTCTGGATTCTGATAGAGGGCCATGAGACTTAGACCTGAGTGCAAAAATGGAGGCTCTAGACCCTTCCAGAGCTGAGATATCGAAACTCAAAATTTCGACCCGAAAAAAAAACGACAGTGTTACCCCTTACGTTTTTTTTTTTTGGGCGAAAAATTAAGTATCCCCAATCTTCTCAAAACTCTGGATTCTGATAGAGGGCCATGAGACTTAGACCTGAGTGCAAAAATGGAGGCTCTAGACCCTTCCAGAGCTGAGATATCGAAATTCAAAATTTCGACCAGAAAAAAAAACGACAGTGTTACCCCTTACGTTTTTTTTTTTTGGGCGAAAAATTAAGTATCCCCAATCTTCTCAAAACTCTGGATTCTGATAGAGGGCCATGAGACTTACACCTGAGTGCAAAAATGGAGGCTCTAGACCCTTCCAGAGCTGAGATATCGAAATTCAAAATTTTGACCAGAAAAAAAAACGACAGTGTTACCCCTTACGTTTTTTTTTTTGGGCAAAAAATTAAGTATCCCCAATCTTCTCAAAACTCTGGATTCTGATAGAGGGCCATGAGACTTACACCTGAGTGCAAAAATGGAGGCTCTAGACCCTTCCAGAGCTGAGATATCGAAATTCAAAATTTTGACCAGAAAAAAAAACGACAGTGTTACCCCTTACGTTTTTTTTTTTGGGCGAAAATTAAGTATCCCCAATCTTCTCAAAACTCTGGATTCTGATAGAGGGCCATGAGACTTACACCTGAGTGCAAAAATGGAGGCTCTAGACCCTTCCAGAGCTGAGATATCGAAACTCAAAATTTCGACCAGAAAAAAAAACGACAGTGTTACCCCTTACGTTTTTTTTTTTTTGGGGCAAAAAATTAAGTATCCCCAATCTTCTCAAAACTCTGGATTCTGATAGATGGCCACAAGACTTAGACCTAAGTGCAAAAATGGAGGCTCTAGACCCTTCCAGAGCTGAGATATTGACATCCCACATAGCATTTATGCCATTATAAATATCTCAATATCTCAGGTCTGGGAGGGTCTAGAGCCTCCATTTTTGCACTCAGGTCTAAGTCTCATGGCCCTCTATCAGAATCCAAAGTTTCAAGAAGATTGGAGAAACTTATTTTTTCGCACCAAAAAAACAACAACAGTGGTACCCCTTTTGGTGCGAAAAAATATGTTTCTCCACATAGGGTCTGAATGGGTTAAACGAGTCAAAATATGAAAGTCGGCGCACCTTAAACTTAATTTGTAACAAGCTTGTTCATCTTGTCTCAAATATGTCGAACTGATCTTGCTTTATAGGAGTGATTGAAGGAGGCTGGAGCTGTTGGTCTGCCTGGAGTAGCTGCTCTCATGGTCAAAAGTCAAGGACTCGTTCATGTTATAATCCTGCTCCAAGAAACGGAGGCAGGAATTGCATAGGAGGGACCATAGAGCGCAAAAGCTGTGAAGAGCCTGATTTTGAACACCTCAAGTGAGAATGAGAATTTGAGGATTTATTCCTTTATTCATTTATATTTTGTGCTCACTTAGACTCATGGCATTTTTTCATACTCTAGAATGATGGAGCCCCAATGTTTTGATCCCTCATTGACACCAGTTAAGACATGTAAAACTCCACCTCCTTTGGCAAATGGATTTGTTTTGGTAAGTGTCTTCATAATCAGGGGAAATCGAGGGGCGGGGGAATATGCGCATTAATTAAAACTCTTTCAATTCACAATACTTACCCCAGGCATGTGTTTCAAATCAAATACATTGTGATTCAGGACCCAAAAGACATCTATCCAGTGGGCAGAAAGATTGAGTACAGCTGTGCAGATGGACATGATCACTTTGGTGATCCAATTGCTGAATGTACAGAGAACCTGACCTGGAGGAGGTCACCCATGGAGTGCAAAAGTAATTCATTAAACTATACATCAAAGAAAATGTGCAAAATTATAGTAATTATAAAGTTTTTTGCGTGGTTGCCAAAACATTGCAATTTTGTTGTTAAGATCTCAGACAGCTTCATAAGTGTCTCCTCAGATCCGGCCCACATCTGGTATTTGTGGATTCCACGTGTACCAGATGTGGGCCAGGTCTGGGCAGACACTATGAAGCTGTCTGGGGTGGAGCTTGGAGATCACTAGCTGTCTAAATGGCTTGAGTTCTCTTGTTTAATGTATGTCTGGGTTATTTTTTCATCAGTTTTAGCATTATATTAGAGAATTACAATGAAGTATTTTTCTTCTCATTGTGTATTCACCAGAAACAGCATGTGATCCTCCAGCTGTTCTGAGTAATGTCATTGCCACACCCACAAAACAAGCTTATCTGATCGGGGAGAGTGTGACCCTGTCATGCCCAAGTGGGATGCAGAAAGAAGGCGAAGCAGAAATCATGTGCCGCCTTGGCCTCAGCTGGTATCCAGCTTCTGAGACTGTCCGATGCAACCCAGGTATGCCGTAGCTTCCTATTAAACACCAATCAGGTACTTGGTTTTAATTATTGCTTACATAATTTTTTTCTGAATAGTGGAAGCAGTGCCCACCCAACCAAGTGTACTCTGCAAACCATGGGAAAACCAGTCAAAGGATCAGTGTGTTTGCAAAATGCCTTATGAATGCAAGTAAGTTTACTAGTTATGGTATTAAATATAAAAAGTAATAATGAAAATATAGAGATTTGACATTAATGCAAGCTGCGTTGTGTGACATTGACCAGGAATTCACTCCTCATTTGTGCCTCTGTTCGTCCTGGCCGGGTGAACAGAATAAGTGTCTGCCAGCTTGGGGCCTTACAGTGTCTAGGCCAAACGTTTTCTTTAAAACAGGATAGTGCATGTGGTTGGCCAGAAACCAAATTCACATCCTGTCAGGACTGCCATCAGTGGGAAACATGTGACGGTAGGCTCTCTATAAAACATCAAAACCTTTTTAAACATGGGTCACTGACATGCAGTTCTAATCATATTCCAGGTCTTCAATATATGTATTTTTTTTCGTTGGTCTGAAAAAAGTTACTTTGGATAAATTGTCTGCCAAATGCATACATATAAATCTGTATGTGTAAATGTATCCCCAGGTTTTAAATGTGAATGCATAGACCCTGAGGACTGCCCAGATGACTCCGCCCACCTGTGTGTCTCTCTAAAGGGCGGGACTCCTGAGATGATGTCAGAGTGTGAGGTGGGAGCTTGGAGATGCCAAGGGAAAGAGATCACAGTACTCAGCATTGGAGACTGTCAGGCATAAACGACTTTTTTTTCAATTGCTTTTTCCAACTGTATGTTTTTACTGTTGTGTGTAGTAATATATAATGTATAAAAATCATGTTTTTAGTTTGCAAATAAATATTGTAAATTAGTGCACATTTGTTACTAAATTTGTCTTAAATTGTTGGCAATGTGACAAACAGAGCAAAGCCACAGTGACGGGTTTTCAGGGAAATCAACATACAAAAATTGCAGAGACATTCTGAGAATGAAGAAGTTATTTTAATGTTTGAAAAATATATTCACTTCAGATGAAAGAGCATTTAAATTTAAATACAAGAACTTCTGAATGTGTGATGACATTTCATTGTGTGGTTCCACATCATTATACAGATTGCTGCATATAGCATGCTGTGAGTGACTATAAAACATCAATGCGTTTTCTGTACAAATCAATAATGGAGCAAATATGTGAGCATTTCAACGGTGAACATTTCTACAGCAAGATTGGTGCACAATTAAGAACTTACGCAAGGACCTTCATGCAGAAGTTCAAACTCTATCTCGCTGCACTTCATGGCAGCCATGAAGCACAGACTCATGCTCCGTGTGCTTTGCATTCTCACAATTTTCAGGCAGTACATGTGCTTCCCATCCTTTGAACAATCTCTGGGGATTTTGCACTCACATGTAGTTGACACTAAGAAGAAAAAACATTGAAAAAGTGTTGAATTATTTCAATCGAATACAAATCAAAAATGTGTTGCCAGCTGAAAGGATATATAACACAAGGGTTCGTAATAAAATCTGCACCTGAGCAGGTCTCCCACTCGTAACAGGTGTCTGAACCACAGGGCTTCTGCACTGAGCTCCGCTCGGATACACTGGCCCTGAATTTGGCCCAGTCCAGACTGCCTGCGTCATTTTTGCACGGTCCATTATTCATAAAGTATAATCTGTCTCCATGACAACGGTCGGCATGAAAAGCACAGAAGGACATCATAATGGCACTCTCCTTGTCTGCGTCGAAAATGCACAAGTCTGTTCTATAATTTCTGCAGGATACACAAATACATGGTATTTAATGGTCAAATTTCCCAACAGGCCACAGCATTAATACATACAAATAATTATTATTTATTCACAAATCTTGTGCATTTGTCCTCTGAAGTGCGAAAGTCTTAAGCCACGTTTCCACCGAAATTACCCGGAACTATTTGTGCCAGGAACTTATTTCGACTTTAGTTCCCAGTAGGACCTTTTAACTGGAACTCTCCCTCAAGTCGGAGGAAGCACAATAACCCTTATTTCATAATCCAATATATGGCTGCTTAGCGCATCTACCGTACTGATATATAGTTGCTAATATTGTTTATTAACATTACTATTTGCCTAAACTCAGTGGTGCATGTAGTATTATCCAACCTCTATTAGCGGACATGATACACCGGCATTATCTGTGCAAAAAAACCAAGGGGGTAATCCATCGACCGGAAGTTGAAGCCGGCCGGGTGCCGCCAGCTTGTAGCAGAACTTCACTTGCATTAGCATTTCCATTGACTCCCATTCATTTTGGTGTCACTTTGACAGCGAATAACTTTACATCTGAGGTGTCTGAAGACCCCATTTGTCCATTATTTATTTCTAAAGAAACACGACAATGTATAAAATGCCCCATTACCTTGTAGCTTATGTTATGGCCCCGTAGAAGCAGTTTTTCAAAAAGTACGCTAACGATTGTGTCATAACCACGCGACTCTGTCGAACAGTAGAAAGATTAACGTATGGACAGGAGGAGAAGTTCGCGGGCAATTCGCCTTTGGTCAACCTACATTCTAGGGCATGGCTTAGACAGCGCAGCCAAGAACGAGCTCCCACAGAGGTCGGACACTTTTTCACAGCGCGCCATTGACTTTCAACACAGGCGTCTCATATTTCAAATATGGTCAAATCCTGACAAGTGTCATCCTTGGATTAAACTGTATGGACGTCCTCCTCAGTCAGCTAAACCCCTCAAACATCAACAAGCACATCTTTTTTACTTCTAACCTTACTGTGAAGTTATACTAGTTAGACCGTTTTATAATGTTTTATGTTATGATTTCGGTTCTCATACCGGTTGTTGATAAGCTAGCACACGCTGCTAATAAATACAAAGTTATACTCGTGTAGTCCGTTTGCTTTGTAATAACGATTATAGAAGTGAATAGAGACCGAACCAGCTTGGCATGAACAGTGTTGCTCCCTGATATTGTTAGTCCCAGCCTGCGTCTTGATTAGGATATGCGGTGGTTCATTTTTTGACTGTGACCGGTAACGTTATGCTTTTGCCTCTAGCCTATTTGGATGCCTTGTTGTTTCTATCGTTTCACCTGTATGTCTTGAATATAGCCTTCGAACGCATATTGCAGCCCCTTTTGCCCACTTCTATCGGACACTTTGTTTGCTGCTTCATAAAAGTTTGATAACATTTCAGCAGGAACAGCTGTCACAGCAAAAGCCATGCAGAGCGCAGATGATGTTTGACGGATGTAGCAACAGTAACTAAGGGGGGCTGGGCTTAGCCAAAGGTGAATCGGGGAAACATTGAGGCAAAATGACAAAATAATTAATAAGAATACCTAGCAAAAGTTTCTCCTGCTCCTAGCTCATGGACAGCTCCTACTCACACTCTCCGCCTCTGCATGTTTCGGAAGGGAATGATTCAGATTTCTCATGCCACAGCCACTAGAAGACAGACGGGTTGCTCGCGTCACATCTACGTCGTCAAACTCTGTTTGAGTCGGTTTGAGTCAGCGCGTCAGGAACGGAAGTGCTAAAAAAATCGCTAAAAATGGGCTTCACTTTTCTCAACCGAGTTCCAATGAGATGGCTCTGTCCACTTCTTATACTGTCTATGAAAAAAACTTGCTTTTTTATGTTTTTAAGTCCATCTTAGGACTCATTTACTGGACTGGAATGCAGGCAACTCTGGTGTGACCAAACTCTGACATTTCAATGCTGTGTCAGTGGAACGCAGCATTGAAACGCATGACAAAATTAAAACCGTCACAAATAGGGAAACGTTCATACCTGCAACTTTCTTTGGACATGCAGATGCATTTAGTCCCATCATGCATCTCTCCAAGTTTACAGCTGCGGTCTGGTACAAAGGGTTTATCTGTGGAAAAATATGTTTAACCATGTTTGCATTTAAGGAGCTAAAGTTGTTAAGATTAATGAATGGCACTTTATACTCAAAGTAAGCGGCAAGATTTGTGAATCATATGAATTATTTCAAAAAGCATTTTTATTCTGTGAAAGTACCAATCTTGCAGTGTATGTCCTGTGGAATGCTTGGCTCCCAGACAAGACTCTTCCCACACGAGTAAGACAGACGCCCTGATGGACTCATGCCACTTTCTAAGCAGGCCAGCATGATGTCACTTCCTACTTTATACTCCACTTTGTCTGGGTATATCTTCATGCCAACAGGCACTGTGGGTTTGACGCAAACCTTTTCTGGAATGACAAGAGAACATCTGGAGTGAAAACTTTCAAACTTTCAAAGGGTCAAAATAAGCTTTCAGATCATAAACTGTTTTGTTTTGATATTATATCAGCATTTCTATGGCTTACTAATGCAGTGTCCTTTGGGTTTCTCCCAAGTGCCATCCTGCAAACAATGAATGAGCTGGTATCCATGCAGCTCAAAACCAGTGAAGCAAACAAACTCCTCGTGATCTCCATAATCATATTGGCGCTTATTGATCTGGAATTAGAAGGAAAGAGTTGGACGTTAGTGGAAGGAAGGAGGAATGAAGATGTGACGTAAAAGTTTCAGCTCTTGTGTCCCCTCACTCTCAGGTGGCTATTGGCAGGTGGACGGGGTTTTGGACAGCCAGAAGCTCCAGGGGGCAGCTGACTCTCACGGGACCCTTCAGTCACAAAGTCATCATCATTAATGCACACATTTTGCCTGTGAAAGACAGAAAAACAAGAATGTCTCACATGTCATATTAATTAACCATGCATATTGAAGGGGTGATATACAGGTGAGAGTGTGTGCAAGAGAGCGCAAATGAGAAGAGGTGAGAGACAGAGAGGTGAGATTGTAAGCAAGGTGCACGCTCCTTAATTAAAAAAAAATTAAAAACATTAAAGAAGAAATTTATTTGTAAATGCAGAATAATCTAAGAACTTTGTATGAGTACTTTATCTGCACACATAAATACCCAAATTATATGATATTTGTGAATACATGCCAGTGACCGCATTCTGACCTGACAGATACTTCTTCTGTAGTCTACAGATAAGAAAGGGCACTTACTCCTGGAAAATAGAGATGGTACACTCCTCCACCTGCTTCTCAGGGCCTTGGCAAGGTGTGCCACCGCGCTGGGGTGCAGGGTTGTTACAGGTACGCGAACGATGCTTCTTCAAGTTGGCGTCACAAGTACTCCAAGAGCTCCAGCAGCTCCAGCGCCCATCAACTTCATCTGTGGGATGTAGACAGAATTTTATTACTGCATGATTTTATTATTTTTATTATTATTTTTTTATATAACTAATAATATATATAATTAGGGATTAGTCATTCTACATATATATATATATATATATATATATATATATATATATATATATAATATTTTTATTTTATTTATATTATATATATTTTAAATAGTCTTAGAAATATCTGTATGTTACGGAGCCCCCCTGGTCCCACTTTGGCGAAAAAATTTATTATAACTATCTCATGGCCTCAAGATAGTACCTGTGGCCTCATTGAGTTTGTGTGAGTTTTGTGCAAGTGCACACTGAGAATCATATGCATAATGTACTGTGAGAGCATGTCTCTTATACGAGTATGCATGGAGAGTTTGCGTGTGCGCATTTCTCATATGAGTATGTGCAAGGAGAGTTCCGCGCATCTCGTGTGTGTAGAGTTTGCGTGTACGTGCATGAGCGACTTTAGGTGTGTCGTTGTGCATTTCATACTGTATGTATTTTTGAGCATTCAGCAGTATACATGTTTGTTTGATTACTAAGTATATGAGTATGCATACTATCTTGAGGCAACGAGATGGTTATAATTAATTTTTTTGGACAAAGTGGGAACATGGGGGCTCTGTAGTATGTCTGTATACATATGTTTTCTCTCCATTAGTACATACAAATATTTATAGGAATTCTTGTGAACCTGCAGTGTAGTCTGGAGCTCGTCTCTCGCAGTTTGGTCCATATGTCCCGGTCTGGCAAATACAAATGCATTCTGTTCCAGAAAGAGCTGGCCGGGCATTGTTGGGGCAGGGGGCACATTTACAGGAGTCAAATTCAGTCTGGTACTCCATCAACGCCCTATGAAGATGTCGTCTCTTTGTCACAGCACAAGGGAAGCCCCGCACCAAATTCACAAGAGGCAAAAGCTATAAAATATTGACAAATATACATTAACCGTGTGTTCCTGTTTTCAGTTTATTTGCATTTCTTTTGAAATAAAAGGTTTTTTTTCTACACCCCAGATTATTTGACAGGTTAATATATGAAAATGTTCAAATGACATAAATGTTTGTTTCTCATCCTAACCTTATAATCTATAACAGTTGGATTGTCTATAGTAGATTTGATCCAGTTCTGGTATGTAGTGCTGTCTGGCAACACACCCCTCTTCTCCCAGGCCAGGGCTGCGGTGTATTCAGCTCTACCTCCTTGCACAGATGTGATACACTTCTCTGATGCTTTTACGATTGACCCTGAAATGGACAACAGCCAACATTTCAAATGAAGTTTATATAATCTGAAACATAAGCCTTTAGTCATGTGATAGCAGCACATTTGTGTTTGTATTACCTTCATATTCTGTTTTTAATGTATTTTTCCCACAGGTGGAGCTATGTGAAATTCTATTATAGAATATAGCTATGATGGAGGAATCCTGACTAAAGCAACTGTTCATTTCTGCTTCTGTCAATCCTGGGGATTGTAAGGAGATGCCACTGATTAGAGAGCACAGTTGCAATGTATTTTAGAAATGAGAGATAAAGTGACGTGAGCTTCACATGATCAAGGTCTCAAATGTTGTGCCAATGTTTTTACAACCAGATGTCCGCAGGCCACTTACCATAGGTTTTCAGTTCTTCTCGATCATATTGGAAAAGGAGATCATACTTTCCCCCTAATGTTCCAGAGCTGAAATAATGTGTCCCAAACAGCTGGAAGATCTGTCTATAAAGGGCATAGTTGTATTCCAGTGGTAGACTGTTTAGAAACTGAAGGAATGGGTCTGATAAGTAGAGGTCAGACGATTTCATCCTGAATGTTGATGTGGCAACAACCTGATGCACCCTGTAAAACTCAGAGTCCTGCAAAAAAATAATGTGAACAACGTGTTCAATTCAGATATAAAGACAAGTTTGTGTGCTGTTAGGGATAGAAATAATGAAATAAAAGTTTAAAATCCATTACCTTTTGTTGAGATGCTTTGATTGCCTCTTTAAAAAAAGTATGTGATTCTTTGGCCAAGATGACTTTTTGGAGGTTGACTTCTTTCACTTGAAAATCTTCAAGATTTTCAACCTGGAATGAAATCAAATAATATTAAAATTTCAAAATCTAATCATTGATCCATGCGTTTTTGTGTGATTGGAAGATAAAACAATAAATAGCACCTCACATTATGAGTTATTTGATATTTTAGTGATATACCAATGTTGAAATTCTGGGAAATACTGAGAAGTCAATAATTATTGTCTTTCCCAATAATGGAAGAATATAAATATAGTATACTCACTTTTGTTGCCAGCTATTTTGACAATAATGGCTGTATGTTGAGTTATTTTCAGAGGACTGTAAATACATACTCCTAAACCAGCAGCACATTGACTACTCTAAAATATATTCAAGTTTAATTTCTATACTATTGTGCCTTAAGTAGATATACTTTACTAAAATGTTTTCTTTTTTTTGAGAAACTGTATATGATGCCTATTGTGCATCCCTATGTTCTTTGGGTGTTATTTGGATATAGATTTTTTTTAATTATTCCATTTAACAAGTAAGGTACTATAAGCAAAAACAGACAAAACTTTGATTTTTCCCACCTTGATTTCATATTTCTCAATGTTGGCAGGGATTCGGTAGTACTTCTTTAGTTTTTCTATAGTGCATTCACCCCCCATGAATGAGTTGTCCAGAACAGCGCCTCTCATCTGCTCTGCCGCAGCATCAAATCTAATTTAATTAAAGGTCAAGCTCAGATTTATTTTGCTGACAACATGATAACATATCTAGACTATTACCATGTCCATTAAGTTGTTTTGCAATCTCAGAAAGCAAATGTTCTTTATCTGTAACTCACCCATAACCAATCAGGTCTGCTCCAGGAATTAAAGCAAATCTCCGTTCACTTGCACAAACTTTTTTGATTTGCGCACAGTCTCTCTCGTCAGAGTTGTCCCCGCAGTCATTCTGATTGTTGCACTGCAGAGCAGCATGTATACATCTACCTTTGAAGGCAATAAAGCAAGTTGGTGATCGTGCACTTGTTGTCTAGACTAGAGCAAGCATTTAAAGACTGTATATATTTGCTAAATTATAAAAATCAATAGACCATGTATCATTAAATCTAATATCATGTGTTGTTGTGAAGATATGTACCACTGTCACAGGTGAACTTCTCTTTACAGTCGACAGGCTCAATCCGACATTCCTTGGACGGATGACAGAGTCTCTCCTCTGTAAGCAATGGACTGCACTCTTGCCCTCCAAACTGAGCCGGCCTCAAAACAGACCTGATTCTGAACTAAATCACACACAGTATACACACACTTACTACAGCAGTAGACCATATTTGAGGAATTTCAAGAATGTTGTTGTTCTCAGCTGTAAATAAGGCTGCAGGTAGTCCCAGCCATGCTGATATTTCGAAAAACTACGTTTTGTGCATGTGCTATTGCTTTTATTTAGTTAATATTCAGTAACACACATTTTAGATATAATATTGCCATTTAATTTCGAACATTTAATTAAACACATTTATAACAAATCGACTGAATGAATGAGAGAGTCAATAACTCTTGTCTTTTGTGAAAACTGGAGATGGTCCTCCTCACTGGAGAACATGAAATCCAGGGGGAGGAGTTGGATCCAGATCCAACTCCTCCTACCTTACATTTACCTAAACCGCCCCCTGATTACTAACCCCACCCCTAATCCTAGCCATCTCCACCCTTTATCTGGATCCAACTCCGCCCCCTGGACCTCATGTACTGCAATGAGGTACTGGAAAACTGCAGCACCACATAGAATAGCATTAGAATGACGACAGGGGAATTTTCTGGAAATATTAGAATAATGTTAGAAACATTTTTGGGGAAACATTCTGGGATTGTTAGAATAGTGTTAGAATACCCTAAGAATAAAGTTAGGGTAACGTTCTACAAACCAAAAACTAACATTCAATTTCAGTTAAGAAAACTTTCCATGGCTAACAAACCTCTAAAAAGAATGTTCTCTGATGGTGCGTTCATGTGCTATGGTAATTATGGTAAATACCAAAAGCCGATGTGGAAAACGCACATGAACACCCCCTCATGTGGTATTTTCCACTGGGCAGCTCGTAGAATATTTTGATGCACGAGTTGCCAAGATGAGATAACCTTTGACCTTTTCAAAATGGCAGAGAGGAACGCGAGAGTCATCTAAAAATATGTACCATTCATGATCTAGAAAATATACAGCATATTATTAACCATTTGAGTTTTGATAAATCATTTTCTTGCTGTAGCAGATAACTGAAGCAATCTAAAATAGTTTTAGCAAAATAACAGGTCTGGATCTCCATCATTTTACCACATTTCGACAACAAAAGCACTTGAACGCAACACACTGGTAAAAACCCGTTTCACAAGTGGAAAATATCATATTTTCCATCCGTGAACGCACCATGAGACCCAAAAACGAACGTTCTGGGAACCTAAAATGGATGGCTATTTTGATTACGAGAAGAAGATTACAAGAGCATATGAATTACCACCAATATTCCATAAAAATTAAGAATTGTCCATTATAATTTCATTGTGACATTTCTGAACAATTTATTGATGTGTAGGCTATAAATGGAAATGAAAAGTCCCAATGCTGTTGTGCTGCCACCGCATTACATCTGATATTATATATTTTGGAACGCTGCTTGACCAGTCAGATTCAAGGACACTAACTAACTTTTGCTTACCGTAAATATCCTAATAGCTTCGTGTGTTTTACTTACAGATTTTTTGGCACAAGGCGAGCACTCTGACCAGGGTCCAAACTCGGTCAGCTGGCAATGTATAGAACAGGCCTCAACATTACACGCTCTAGTCTCATGTGTCTGACACAGCTGGAAACAATTGTTTTTGGTCCAGTGCTCATCATAGCGCACAGCTCTGCAACAACAAACGCACAGTCCACATATTACCATAATAAACTTGAATGAACTTTATCAGAAATGTCATGTTAGATTCAACCTTCCAAACAATAAATAAATAAATCATGTTAGGTTACCTTGTACGTGCTTGGGTTCCAGTGTCACAGGTTTTGGTGCAAAAGGACCATGAACTCCATGGGTAGTGGTTACAGAAACATCCCGTAACAGTGGTAAACGAAGCCAGGCTGCAGAGTAGGACAAGGGGAATGGAAGTACGATCCATAGAGAAGGTGGCCTGTCAGAACTTGATAGCTTAAGGTAAGGGAGAAAGTTATAAGCCAATCACATTACACATGCACAGCTGATTTGTTTATTTCTATAATGATTTTTTTTTTCATTTGCTCAGTGCATATCATGTACATAAATTAATGAACACAAATAAGGTATTCTGAAAGAACTTTATCTTTAGTTTTATGTAAGCAGATCAGAGGATTTGAAGTATGGAATGCTATATGGACCATTTTTAATATATTGAGTAAAAGTGCTCAAAAATAGTGATAAAAGTGTACATGACATGTATATAATGAAAGGCAATTATGTAAAAAAATCTAGTCTTACAAATTTGAATATTAAAAAGTGATTTAAAATAAATCCAACAATTAAATCAAGATCTCGCCACAAACAGTTTCTTGAGAAGTTGCAGAAACCTAATAGTACCTGAACTTGTGGGTAATACTCACATCAATTTCAGACTCCTCCAAAAAGCATAAGCACACTATCACGTCCAAATTTATTGTCTGTGTCTGTCCGCAATACGAGTAAATATCAATATGACCTGGTTGAATTTTCTTTCAGCATTCTCTCTCAACACTCTTCAGAACTTCCATCCCCCTTTGCTTCCAGTAAATCCTTGCAGCTGCAAGTTTTCACTTTGACATTTTGGCTTCTGCTTTAGACCATGGGAATGTGGGCAGAGAGTATGATAACATGTGATTACAGGAGAGTTATTGCCTTTCTCCATGCCAAAATAGAGGTTGATTTTGTACTTCATCCTATTTTTTTTTTTTTCATAATTCATATCATAATAAGCATCACTTTTTAAACATCATTTAGGTCTCTAAGAATTTCTTAAAGATCTTAAAGAAAAGTTAGTTTATTATTTTATGTTTCCTTGGTTGCCCTTATAATGTTAGTATGTTTTTAGATCAAAAATAGTCATAATTTATAAATAAAAGCCATTTTTCCTAGCTCGGGTTTAGCCTCTGACTTGTGAGCTCTGTTTGAAGGGGCGTGGCTGTGCGGGATTCAGTGTAACCGACCACTGCTGTGATTGGCTGATATGCTTGCATATGAAATAGCTACATATTTCGAAACTCTTTCGATTACTTTTACTACAGCTATTATACGTTTTTACTATTACAGCTTTAGAGATTAAAAAATCGTGAGAAGTTTTTAAAGTATTTAGATCTATTCTGATCAACTGCCATGCTTCGCTCGTTTGCAAGGCATGATATCTCTCGAGGAAAAACTCGAATCGCGCTTGTTGCGTGTTCGTTCTTCCTAGCTTCTAATGGGTGAGCCAAATTCTCTGGACGGGCAAACCAGTAAAAAAAAAAAAAACTTTATTATGATTATAAAATGATGTATATCTAATAAAGAGCAAAAAATCTAAATCCAAACTCTCATAAAACTGGGATATGCATTCACACAAACCTGATGTCTTGAATTTATAAATGAAAAATAAATCATTAAAATCATTTATAATAAATACAATGTTTTATTTACAATTATATGTATTATGTACATTGTGGTTTTACTTATTTCAAGCTTAGAATGAAATAGCAATGGCTTTAGTGCAGAGCACTCTTGTGCCCTTACAAAATGACTGATGTAATTTTTTACAACATTATCCCTTTATGGAAGACTAAATTAAAAGCATTGCACAGTGGCTAAATTTATATAAAAGAAGAAAACGCAAGTAGATGAAAAACACCAATCCTATAACTAAACGTGCCCTTTCACTGACAACAAACTTTTACTATGATAAAAGAAAATCAAAATTAGTTGTTATTATTTTACTTCATTCACTTGCTTTTTTATACAATCATATGGTTTCACAACACATGACAAAGAATGAACCTTTCGGTAACTAAAAAATTGACAACCGATTTTGCTTAAAAACAGGCAGGGTTTTGACTCAAGGGAATTCTGTCCTTCAACAATTGATTAAGTAGTTTTGACACTGTCCAGGGACAAGTTACATTAGCGAAACGTGAAAGGAGACAAGTGAAGCGCTAATTGATCAATGATCAGAAAAGAAGACTTGAGAGTATTGAAGGTTTAGCCAGACACAAGGCAACAAAGCCCGGAGAATCGCCTCTTCCTCTGCCTCACCAGTGGATAAGGAGTAAGATTTAGCAGACTGCTGTCATCTACATGCAGAAAAAATACATAAATACATTTCTAGCTATTTGAGATTAGTGGGTATAAAGAATCCATTCCAGTACTAGAATAAATCTGTTTGAGACTCACCTTGATTTTTCAGCGGCAAAGGCATTGTCTCCCTGAGTTTGCTTAGAAGGTTTCTCATTTCTCGCATATCACTGGAAGAAATTTTACAACACAGGACATTAGAGATCACAGTCACACAGTATTTAAAGACTTCATTTAGGCTTTAACCCCATTTTACCCCATTAATACCCCAAATTGGTTGACAAGCAGCATTTTATATACACTACTTTCAGGGTTCTTTGATGAATAAAAAGTTCAGAAGAACAGAAATTAGAAATCTTTTGTAATATTATTAATGCCTTTACTATCATTTTTGTCCATTTAATGCATCCTTGATGAATAAAAGTTTAAATCTTACTGACCCTAAACCTTTGAACAGTATATGTATGCTACAAATTTTAAGTGATTATTCAGTAAAAATGTTCAATATTGTTATTACACCTTTAATTAATAATTATTTTTAAATTGAGTCATTATTCTTTTCCTTTTTTAAATACATATTGGAATTTTAGCTCATTCCCTTCAGTCTTTTTCTAAGATTTTCAAATACGTTTTCAAATAAGTTTGTCATGCGATTCATCTCCGAGCTGGTTGCTTTGCTTCATTGCTTACAACTCCTTCCTGAAAAATTGTTTCAAATCCCAGTGGAGAAAATGAATAGAAAAAATTCTTTCATGCTGTCTTACCTCTCTATGTTCTCAATGTCTGTGCACACAACCCAAGATTCCTGTGGAAAATCTACAGGTGATGATGAACGATCTTCCAGCATCGGCACATCAGAGCTTTCGTCTACCCTGCAGTCCATGTTTGCTTCAGGACACACATCATTTCCTTAAGTGAGTGAAACAAAACAGTGCAAGATAGTTATACTTAGTTTTGTTAATAGAACAACCAGATGAAGTGTCAAATAAGCTGTTTTATGTATTTATTGTGCCATCCCCGCCACCGTCAGACTATATTTCGTCATGCAGTATACATTAGCATTATATACTCATGTCTGCTTATGTAAAGAATCTGCTGTCCTCTGCTGGCTGTCATTGACACAACACCTTTCCTGTGGAGCTGCAGAACACCCAACAGACACATAGACTTGAGCATCTCTGTAATGTACATCTCAAGGCAGCACTGAAGCTGGATGAACAACCTGCAAATTTCTGGATGGATTTCACCATCCTCTGGCCTAAAACAAGCATAGAGAGAAAAACAGAATCCATATCAGCTGAGCTTCATGACATCCTACAGCCACATCTTCAAAACTACATGGCTATATCTAAAATAAATGCTTACCCAAAGATTGCAACAAGGTTTTGATAGGCAGCCTGGGCTACGGCGCATCCTTTGATTCGAGTCTTGTGCATCTGCGCCCTTAAAGAAGGACAGTCGACTGTATTCTCCCCTATGGAGATGACCTGCTCACGATGGAGGGCCACAAAAGTGTTGAACTCCTGAACGGTCTGAAAATGTAGACAAATCCTTCTGAGTCTATTTTTAGAAAGTGGATATGTATATTCCTTCTGGAAAACTATGATTAAGCAGCCGTCTGTGTTTTGGAACATAGCTGGTTTGGTTGGTTGACCATCTTATCTTTAGATGTCAACCTGGCATTTGGAACATGGTAGCTGGTTGATCATTTTTGACTAGAGAGAATCCAGCCATGTTCCAAAGCACGGCTGGCAGCTTTGGATTTTCCAGCAGGGTAAACACAAGTTTAGCTGCATTATCTAGATGCCACACAGCAACACATGGGATTTGAGGATGTCATTTCTAAATAATGGTGCAATATGAAAACACAAACTGCGAGTGATAATCATTATAAAACCAATAATTTATCCTATAATCAATTCACAAACAGATAATTATTCATGTATCAATGCATCACATGCGTACAGAAGCCAAATATAGTTATCCTATGGGCTGTAGGCTACACTGTAATAATCCGTAGGGGCAATCAGCCGGTTAACTTGCATATAATTGACAATAAAAGACAATCCAAAAATAGCACCCGCAGAAGAGACAGCGGTTGTTCTACCGTAAGCTCACCGTTCTACAGTCATCCATCGCCCGCTGAGCTCTGCGTGAGCTCTCTGTGCTCTCCCGGCGCTCCGGATCCCTCATCGAAGACTTGCCGATTTGAAAGATGTTGGAAGCGGATCTGGGGCGGTTCTTTCGCCCGTTCGGTGCAGAACACATGCATACGCATCCACGAATAAAACCACCTCACTGAGAAAATGTCTTTAATCAGTCTGTCCTCGATTCAAGGGTGAGGTCGATCCTTGAATGAGGATTGTTGTTTCTCTGCCGTCGATGATTAGAGTGATGTGACAAAGCCGAGGGAGAGTCCGCGACGCTTCCTCTGCATCTCCGCACCAACAGGCGAGTCACCTTCACCTCTGTCGAGGGCCAAGAGCGGCTTTAACTCCACACAGCTGCGGGCTTCGATCACGGATAGACGAGTTCGCCGAACAAACACAATTGATTAGTTTGATGGAAAGGAGATTCACGCTTATTCATGGAGATTTTCAATATTGTATTAGCAAGCGCCGTCTCAAACATATCTTTGCTAATTTATATTCATGTCAACAGAACGGCTGTCCATAAAAAAAAAAAAAAATATCAGAAAAACTATCTGAAACGTTTTGGGGAAGTTAACATTTTGTTTAAATTTTTTCAAGACAGCTAGAAAACATTATTTCGGTAAATGTGTAAGTTGTTGCAAAAAACATCTTGAAATGTTAATGATAATAGGCTAATTAAATTATTTGAATAATGAATAGAAAACACTACGTGTTGTAACACAAAACTTCCCTGTAACATTCTGAGAACGAGTTTATGGTGAAAATAAAAAAATAAAAAATAAAAAAGATTGAATGCTTTTACAATGTTTGGATCTGGTTACCCCCAAATGAAAAGAAAGAAAGAAAAAAAAAACCATTCCCAAACTCTGCTTTGAGATATAGGAATGGGCTGTCATTCTAGGCCATTGTCAAATTAAATAATATCATTCCCATAGATTAAATTGACTACAACTAAAGTTCTCAAACCCATTACTGTGTAAAAAGAAGCCATTAAAATATTGTACAGCATTTTTGTTAGTGGAAGAAACCCTGTTTCTAGCATTAAGCAAGCATCTAAATGGCTCCAACTAATAGCAACAGAAATAAAGGTAACTTATAAAACTGAACAAAGAGACTAAGCATTTTCCCAGAATTATTGCTTGTTTTGTTTTCTAATGCATTATAATACTGTTTAGAGGTCAAGTAGGCAGATGATATTAGGGAACAGCTACACGTGATATCTATTTATTGCACAAACCCTGAAAGACCTAAACCTTATAAATAAAAACACAGTAAGAAAAATACCTTAATAATTTTTCAGCATAATTGTACCTACATTAAATTAAAAGTATGAGGCACTTGATGAGATGTCCACCGTCAACAACATTCATTTGTCAAGCAACAGCAAAGTGAAATCTAATCCTCCATTCATTAGATGAGGAGGAAGTAGCAGAGGCCACAGACGATGATGAACGCCATCACCCAGTGCAGAGAGTAGACAGAGATAATCACAAAGTCAATGTCAAATGGCCAACCCCACATGTCCCCCAGATCCAAAGCATCCAGGCCAAATGCTCTGTGGGGAAACTGCCAGCGACTGGCAGGGCCTCCGTGTCTCGGAAACCCTGAAAAAACAAAGACAAAAGGAAATAAGTGGGCAACTTGTAATTTAAAATCCTTGGGTCTTGAAGACATGCTTATGCAAACGACATATGACCAACCCCAAAAGATGCGAAAACGCTTTGGACAGTTGGGCAAGGGCCATTTCGAATAGTTGATCTTCTGAAAGGTCTCATGTCTTGAGCGATATACTTTTGGGAAGCACGTCTTTGTAGTTTGATTAAGCTCTGAAAGAAACAAACAAAAACTATTAGGTGGTTAGATAAAGTTTAGATGCACTGAGAGAACAAATGGACTTTATCGGTTCCACTCACCTTCCTGAAAGAGAACATGGGATATAAGGGTCCTACAGAGGGGACACGGGGTATTGCTAGGCCGATTCTTGGCCAGAGTTCTCAAACAGGGCTCACAGAACACATGACTGCAAGGATGGCACTTGTAGGGGCTGTAATATATGTCTAAACACACGGCACATGTGTATCCCTCTCTCTCCTCATCATCGCTGCCTGTTAGGTCCCACTTCATAGCCTGATAGGTAGACGTAACACAAGAAGACACAAATAAAACATCTCAGAAGAAAAGATAAATTATGTTTATAATAATAAAAGAGACATTCAATTCATTCTCTGTGTAAAAGATGTCCCACTGGTTATCAAAACTATAAAAAAAAGAAAAATTATCCAATAACATGACACCTGCTGCAAGAGCCATGTGCAGCCGTGAATGGCTTATTAACATCCTCAGGATTCTTGCAGCAGCCTATTATGTGGATTTATGCTCGTCTTGATCCATGGATGTACTATTGACATTTTGCCAGAAATCGTCAGTACAAACCAGCTCCTGGTTCAATAGCCCACATTCATTTCTTGCTTGTCTGACTCTGACACTTATCATGCATTAAACAAACTAGCGCTGTGTGCCATTCAGAATAAAGAAAGCCAACAGGATGCATAGTTGTGATTCAAATGTTACAAGAACAAAAACATTAAATAGATTAAAGGACTGCCCACACCAAGGACTACAACTATGTGATGTTACAGTAGAGCATGGTGCTAGCAATACCTACCAAGGTCATGGGTTTGATTTCCAAGGAATGCATGAACTGATGAAATGTTTACATTAAATGTAATGTGAATCACTTTGGATAAACACAACTGACAAATGCATTTATGCAAATATAACTAATGAGAATAGGGAACGCCACACCACAATTATAATGATCACACCACAGATAACTATAATTACTTTCAGAATGTTTTTTTTTTTCAATTGGAATCCACCTGACTTTTACGATTTTGAGAATTTAGAAAAGTAAATGACATAATTGCAGCATTAGCTTATAATAAACAGAACATTATTGGGCATTGGTGTGGATGCTAATGTAGTTATAATTTACAGTAATTTTACATTCATCGTTCTTGGTGTAAATAGGCCTTTAAAATGGAGCAAAATGTAAAACATTATTGGTGTCCTTTTTAATAATACATTTTCAGTTGATTGCCCATACAATTGTGGTTTATATATGTTATGTTTACTTAATGTCTTCTTTCAAAAAAAGAATAATAGTTATGTCTGTTTTCAGAGAAACATGCCTAATCATTTGAGAAGAAATGTATATCAGGGAATAAATTAGCATAATTATTCAAAGTGAATTATGTTTTGTCACAAAACTTGTGGACAATTAAACATTTGTATGACTATGTATTGAATATCTTTTAACACAATTAAATAAATTTCACTAAACCTTTCAGAGAGCCCTATTGATTAAAATTAATTTAACGAAGCCAATTCCTAAACTCTGAATATTGCCCAGACTTGCGAGATTGTTAGTAAATTCACAAATAGGAAAAAAACAAGTCAGACTTTGGCACTCGCCTTGACTTTAAAAAAATCTCACCAAATCTGTTGCCTCCTGCTGTCTCTGAATCCAGCGTTCCTTCTTCCTCTGCTTCCTTCTTAGGCTTTTCAAGCGGTTTTTCTCTCTCTTGCTAAGCTTTGGCTCTACATTGAGTAAAATGTTTCTGGATGGCTCCTCCATCAGTCTGACGCCCTCTGGATCAACTGTTGTGTCCAGAGAAGTCCTACTCTGGGAAGCAGAACCCACATGCTGTTCCTCTAAACTCTCCCGATAATCATTCAGCTGTAGCGGCAATTCAGGAGGTAAAGGAACATCTGTGCCCCTCTCAACATTCTCAAGAATTTGTGGTTCTTCACTTGACTCAACCTCAAGTGGAGTTTCAGCAGACACTACATGAAATACAGGATAGGAGAAGTTGAGGGTTGAGGAAGGAGAAGGAGCTAAACTCATTGTCTGAAGGAGAGACTCCTCCACATTGTTCCTCCTAGACCTTCCTGGTCTTGTTAAAATTACTAGAGGTTTTAGATCCTGATCAACGCGACTTTTACTGAGATGCACAGTTGTTTCATGTCCACAGGTGCATTTGGAACAATTTACAAAATTAAAGCCTCCCAAGCGAGCTCCACAGTACTGGCAGTTTAATTTCCCAACAGTCCAATTGACCTGTGAGAAGGGTACATTTTATCAGAATAGATAATTCCCTTACGAGGTGATTGTCAATAGCCAAAATTGCATAAATTAAAAACAAATACATGCAAACTCTGTACCTGACCAACACTTGACAAAATCCAATCTGGCAAAGATTCAACATTTAAATGCCACACATTGCATGTGGCTGCAGCCTCTCTTGATATGACCGCCTATAATAACAATAGATCACTCATTTAAACAACAATATATGTCACTTACATAAATGAAGATATTTAACCATTCTCAAATTGAGATATAAAGCATTTACCCCCTAGTTTTAGATCATAATTCACCCACCTTGAGGAGACTGGTTGAGTCTATTAGACATCTACGGCACTTTCTGCAGCGCAGGTTTGTTGAATCTTCTAGTGTCCTTAATTTATCCTGTTCTTCATTCTGTTTGAAATGTGCAGTAGAAAACCATATTTTATACTTCTACACATCCTCAGGTAGATGAGTACCGCATGCAACACAACGCATGCATAAAGAGTTGATTGTTCTAATGTAATATCATACATTGCCATCAATGTATGGCTTTATAATATGCCTTTTTCTGCATATTAGAAAACTTTTGCTTGACCATGAAATAGGCCACTACAATCTCGTTGCCACAAACAACACCAACATTTGTACAACTTAAATAATAGTTGCTGCATTTAGTATCTAACTTCACACTCAATTTTACGTACAGTTTGTAACGTAAAGACGTAAAAAGTGCAACTTAGTTCTCTCAATAAAGAATCAACAGCGATACAGTTCCTGTACTGGCCGGTGTTTTCTAACGTTAGTCATTATTATGCAAATACTTTCTGTTTGATTTATTTCAACATTTGGTTCACGTACCACGAAAGAAGTAGCCATTTTCTTCGACGGAATTTCTGAAGAGTTCCTCAAGATGTTTGGCTAAAAGGCTAAAAACAACAGACTGGCTGCCTATGTACTGCTCGTCCAACTCTCTCTTCACTACGGAAGCCGCCGAGGGACAAAAACGTCTCGGATAAAATCATTGACCTGTTACAACGTTCATACACAATATAATTCGCTTATTTATTCAATCATTCAAGATCTCCCAACTTAAACCACATTTACAGTACCGGTCAAAAGTTTGGAAACATTACTATTTTTAATGTTTTGTTTTTTTTTAAAGTCCCTTATGCTTATCAAACCTGCATTTATTTGATCAAATATACAGAAACAAAACTGTAATATTGAGAAGTTATTACAATTCAAAATAATGTTTTTCTATTTTAAAATACTTTTTAAAAAAGAATAACTGATAAATATCACCATATTACAATAATTGCAAACATATTGCATTAATTGTAAACATTTTTTTGTAATAGAAGTTTTATAATGTTGTTGACATATGCAAAATGGTCCTTATCTAATTAAATATGCACTAATTTGTATAAATCCATAGAACAAAAAATCTGAACATTGGATAAAGTCAGGTTCATAATTCATGTTTCATTTTGGATAGCTATCACTCCATTAGGAAATAGTGTCAACAGCCAAAAATGAATTCATTTTCACCATTTTTTTAAGGAATAAGATAAAAAGGTATAAAATCAGGAAAATATGAACATACCCCTCTGTAAAAACCTTAAGATTATAGATAAGAGTAAAACTGTAAAGTTAAGGTGCAACTTAAGTGTTACTAAAGTGGAGACTTCTGGCTCAATGTAGGAGGAAAACTCATTTTGAGAAAACAGTCTTTAAAGATAAAAAGAAAAGACACTTTATGAAAAGCCCAAAATCTCAAAATTGACAGATGCATGAAAAAAACACTGTTTTTGCCTGTAGTCTCGCCTTAAATATAATTGATATGACTCCAGTCTTCAGTGTCACATAATCCTTATTATTATTAAATTGTGCTGCTTAATATTTTTAAGTTGTGCTGCTCAATATTTTTTGGAACTCGTGATACATTTTTCATTCATGGATGAATGATAAGTTAAAAAGAACAGCATTTATTCAAAATTGAAAACTTTTCTAACAACATAAATAGGCTACTATCACTTTTTAATCAATTTAACACATCCTTTCTGAATAAAAGTATAAATTTCATTCAAAAAAAGAAAAAAAAAATATTACTGACCCCAAACTTTTGAACGATATTGTTACAAAAGATTTCTAATGCTTTTTTTTTTTTTAATCAAATGAGGATAGACTTGAGGTGGCCAGAAGCTAATAATAATAAAAAAAGAACTGTATTCAATTGTGTAGGAACAGTCCAATACAATATTTAAACTAATTATTATGTTAAAATATTTAAGATTTATGTGCAACCCCAGACTATTTGCTGGTGTAATACGCCTGAAGAAGAATAGCTGCAGTGATGGTTTTGTTGTATTTACTCTGAATTAATTAATAAAAGCATACATGTATAACAAATACATTATATTATCAGTGTGTGTATCACTTTCACAGTAATGACTGGTTGTAAATGAGTGACTAAGCATGTCCTATAACACAAGAATTGACACTCAAAACTCATACTCTGAAAATGTTTTATTTTGTAAGACTGAATATCTACTCAACCACTAATTGACAGTATGAATTGATATCAATGCAGCTGAGATATTAATCACATGTTCAGACATTGTCTTTGATATATTTTCTACCATAAAGTCACATACACTGATGAAGACTAATGCAATCCATAACTCAATTCTGAGACATGGAATTTATTTCCCAAATTTGCAAGTTTAAAATAACTCAGAATCTGAAATAACATCATGAACTTTTAAATACTCAAATATTATTGACATAAATGATATAGCGCAAAACACCCATGCTAACCATGTGCTCAGGCAGCACCAACTCATGACACACTATTCGTTTAATAATAATAAAAAAAAGTGCTATGAACAACTCATCAGTATTTGATTAACAAATGTTTATACTCAAAACTGAGGTATTTTAGTAACCTGAAGAAGTAAAAGATTGATTTACTCTGAAAAAAGCACATCTCATGGGCGCGCGCGTTTCTAGTGCGTGCGATGACTTCATCACTCTGGTATACCGAGCGAAAATAATTAATTTAATAAATTAACATAACACTTTTCCTTTTTTAAAAGCACAAACAAGCATTTAAACAACATTATAAAACAATATTTACTAATTATTTAATGCATTTGAAAAGAGACACTATATAGCCAACATAATGTCCACTAGCCAATGGCTATCACACTGGCCCCTGCCCGGCCACCCCTATGAAAAAATCCTGCCACTGATAGCCTGATCTCTGGACATTCTGGAAAAGCGCATGTTGCATGTGGAGAGCCCACCCGACACACCTGCGTAGGTAACTGACGCGTCAGTGGACCACTGCTGCTTACTATATAAATGGAGCTGCGTCGTCACAAGTCGTCAGTAATAATGTTAATGGTTGGCATCGACTTGAAGTGTACGAGCTCCTCTAAATGGAGTAGTGCTGTCTACTGAAGCTTTTGTGAATTGTATGCTCTACACGACATGGAAGAATACAACGCCACGTCCTTATCATTTCAGAACGACAGTGGTTTCGATCACCAAATCGACAATGTGACTTTACCTGTGAAGGTTCCTCTGAGTTATCAGATCTCCACGTCTTTGCTGATCGGCGTGCTCATTCTATGTTCCATATTTGGAAACGCGTGTGTCGTGGCGGCTATCGCTTTGGAAAGATCCCTGCAAAATGTTGCAAACTACCTGATCGGATCACTTGCCGTCACGGACCTCATGGTGTCGGTGCTTGTGTTGCCCATGGCGGCTCTTTATCAAGTTTTAGACAAGTGGACACTTGGACAGGTAACTTGTGATATTTTTATTTCTTTAGACATTTTATGTTGCACATCTTCCATTCTGCACCTGTGCGCTATAGCTTTGGATAGATACTGGGCGATCACCGACCCCATAGACTACATGAAGAAAAGGACATTAAAGCGTGCAGCTCTTTTAATAACCGTTACCTGGTTTGTCGGCTTTTCGATTTCAATTCCACCCATGCTGATCATGAAATCTCAGCCCAAGAGTAAAGCAGAAGACATGGCCAATCCTGAAGCTTGCATGATCAGCCACGACCCGTGGTACACCATTTATTCCACCTTTTGCGCATTTTACATCCCTCTGATTCTCATGCTGGTCTTGTATGGACGCATATTCAAAGCGGCAAGATTTCGCATTCGCAAAACCGTTAGAAAACCTGAGAAAAAGAGGGTGAAATGTTTGACTGTGTCGCCCGCGCTTTTTAAGCGAACGAACGGAGAGTTGGGCAAAAACTGGAAAAGCGCAGTCGAACCCAAGCCCGCCGCGTGCGTAAACGGCGCGATTAAGCACGCGGAGGACGGCGATTCTCTGGAGATCATCGAGGTTCACAGCAATTCCAAAAACAACTTGCCGTTGCCCAACACGCCAAACTCTGTCCCTCTGCTGGAGAACAAACACGAGAAGAACACCGAGGCGAAGAGGAAGCTCGCCATGGCGCGCGAGCGCAAGACAGTGAAGACTCTGGGCATCATAATGGGCACTTTCATTCTGTGTTGGCTGCCATTCTTCATCAAAGCGCTCGTGATGCCTTTTTGTCCATCTTGTCATATGCCTTTGTGGCTCAAAGATGTCATTGATTGGCTAGGGTATTCCAACTCCCTTTTGAATCCCATAATTTACGCTTATTTTAATAAAGACTTTCAGAGCGCGTTCAAGAAAATCATTAAATGCCATTTTTGCAGACCATAAACATACTGCAATTTCAGTTGTATATTATCAGAAACACGCGTTTAACCAATATTGATTGCTCAGAAAAAGAATGGTGTATTTTAACAGCCCAGAGATCGAGTTTAAATATACATTATTTACTCTGATTTTATATATCATATATGCTATAATAATGATATCAGTTTACATAATGTGTACTAAAAATGTTTTCATGTCCATGATGTGAAAATAAAAAAAGTCCTACGTGGTTTTGTCCTTGTTTTTTTAATGTAAATAGCATGCACAGACAAAATGTGTCATGAACAGGTTTGTTTGTGAATAAGATCACATGATAGATGGCATTGAGCAATGCTCAAAATTATTAAATTAAATAATAAAAAAAGGAATATTATATTCTAACAATGCCTGACAAATTAAATCCGGAATAGAACAACTTGCTTTTAACGTTTGACTTGAAGATATTAACATGTTCATTTCTTGGATGGAGAGAAGTGCACATAAAAGAATGTAAACCTGTTTTTTCCCAATGTGTCTGTCTGCCACATGAAAGCATTTAATATTTCACAGATCAAGGATTTTAACAAGCTAATTACAGGAGGTGTCTCATGCTGACACTTACTCAAAGTGCGTTTTCAATATCTTCTCTCTCTCTCTCTAGAGACAGGTATATATTTATTGATGTGTCACTCTCAGTCCATCATTTAAACCCCTCTTTGTACTTTTCCTCTTTGCCTGGCAAAACCCATTAATCTTGACTTGCGCCTTCATCACCCATGGAACAGTGTAAACGTGGAACAATGGATACAAAGAAGGACGGAAATATCCTCTTAATTCCATTCATAAAAGAATGTTTTCACAACAAGATGCTTCACCACACATCTCTTTTTACTTCTGATGACAAAAATCTCAAGGTTTTTATACGATCAAGAATGTGCCAGTGCAATTTTTGCCAATGAATTATATTAACAAGTCTCCAGTAGGCGCTTTTTATGTCAACTAATGAATTTTTATGGAACAAACTGCAATTTTGTTTCCAAAATTAAAAAAAGGTGCAACATTTTTTAAAACGAAATCATTTGTTTCCCATTAAAGCAGGCAATCTACCGGATCATTTGGTTGGAGGATTGCAGTTGGATCGTAGTCTCAAAAGTTGCTACAACAACCCTGCCATCCAGTTTGAATCACTAAAAGCCACTCAACAGCAGACATAGAGGTGCTGGTCACCATAGCGACACTCAGGTGTCTCAAACTCTGGTTCTGAGGTGCAATTATCTGATCAAAGGCCTAGGACAATAGACAGAGCCCACGTGCACACCCACAGCTGGCATGATTTAGCGACCTGTGGATCCACAGCTATTTATTACCAATGAGAAACCTCCAGAGAAACATTGCTGATCACTCAACAAACATGACCATGATTGTTTGAGTTTGAGCTCTGGCAGAACAGCTTGAGAGTTTACTAACAAATGTATAATAAATACCATTTGAAATTGGATTACAAATAAACTTTAACCCATTACTGGGTCTGTTGAGCTCTGACAGTGATAAGCATTTAGGAAATCAATGTTTCCACACAGCCAGCCCATTCTCACCCCCAGGGCGCCTTGGGAAGCATTTGACCATGCTTCAATATCTGACACTTTAGATCCTACGGCGTCATCTAACTGACGCTAAAGGAAAGCGTCATTTATGACGCGGGTATAGGTCTGGGGTAGGGTTACACAGCACAATACACTCTAAACAATGCTGGGTTACTTTAACCCAAATGTGGGTCAAATATGGACAAACCCAAATGTTGGGTTAAAAATTAACCCAACTTTAACTCTCACTTTCACTTGTAAATTTTTTGAATTACTTTTTTTAACCCAACATTTGGGTTTGTCCATATTTTACCCAAATTTGGGTTGAAACAACCCAGCATTTTTTAGAGTGTAATCATTTAAACCCATTCATTAGTTTTGTGTGAGCTCGGAAAAGGCCAAAATTGAGGTCTGTATATCCAATGAATGGATGGTAGTCAGTGAGTACTGTTGAGCAGTTGAAAAAAAATGAATATGGTGGGCTCAAGGTTAAGCCCATGCTTGTATTTTAATAATTTGGTGTTATATTGATAGCATCAAACTAAATGTCAGGAAATTAAATGGGGATAAAGTGACAAGAAAATTCATAAACAGGCTGTTAATGAGATCCATAAATTCATAATATTTCGCAGTCATTCAACCAAAAATAATCAGAGGCAGATGCAAAGTCAAAAGTAGAGATTCTGGAAATTCCAACGTAATCCAGACAGCTGAACACTGATTGTCAAGTGGCCGTTCTTCACAGTGGGCAAGATACACAAAAACATCCTTTTTGGGTGGGTGATCTGCACAGCACTTGTAAAAAACTAAAAAGAATTGTGTTTCACACAAGGTAGCTTGATTGTGTGTCAATGAAAGCTTTCCCAAAGGTGGCAGGTGCTAGTATTCAACTTCAGTTAAAGGGCATATGAAAACTAATATTTCCACACTTCATTCAAAATCAGCACAGAACAACAAGTGTCTTGATATATAGAGAGAATTTGTTTGAATTTTAGAGAATTTCATTTAATGAAAGAGACGGTTGAGAGAAGACAGGAAATGAAGGAGAGGGAAAGTGGGACGACACTAGAATCAAAGTATTTACTACATACGACTCTGATATAATGCGTTATATTTTCACTATAGTGCATGTTCATTTCATTCTCTTGTCTCCAGTTATCAACGTGGCATGTTCTAAAGGACAAACATGCAGTCTGAAGGAGATGAGGAGTTCAAAGTTGCAAAGCGTTTACGTATACAATATAACATAAACTGCTACATGCAGAATCCAGTTCACACACACAAAACAGAGAACAGGAAAAGACGGATTGAACAGAAGGGAAATAAATACAAACACAGATGTACGTTGATTGACAGAACACAGGTGAAACAGATGCTGATAGTTAACTAAAGGTGATGCAGATGAAATAAATTACAGTAACCATGGAAACAGATGAGTGGCGGGAAAACAGAACAAAGGAAGACAATTGACTTGTGACAACAAGACAGAAACACATGCAGTCAGGCACATCAAATCTTTGCAAGGATGGTTACTGGTTCTTGCTTGTTTTCAAAATAGAATAATTACTTTACAATTCAAAGTCACAATTCGGAGAAACATTAATTTGACAGACTCCTTAATGTGATATCATCCGTAAAAAAATAATTTCAGTGTTGAAAAATTTTAGCTTCATTTCAACAAACATCCAAATTCGCTCTTCAAGTGACAAATTTATTTTGCTTAATGAGATCAACTGAACATTAAATGCCACAGAGATATGTTATTTTCTTATCTGATGCAATGCTCAAAAGCAAAAAAGGTTTCAACAGTAATATTGAAAATTAAAGTATAATTCTATAAAGGGATATATTATAAATATCAAGCTATAAAAAGACAGCTTTCTTTGATCATTTCTTTCAGGCAGACCTATACAGTGATTATAGAGCTTATACATCTGACCAGAAAGTGCTTTGTGCGTCAATACATTGACTGTGACTGAATAATTCAGTCACATTTTAGTAGCTGAATACAATGTTTTTGTTACAATCATTGATTTGAATACATCAGTTATGGAAAATGTGATTTAGACAAGTTATATTAAAGTTCAGATTAAATATAAATTCCATGGCGAGTTTTGAGTTCATAAAAAGGTTGTGAACTTTTGCTTCATGATTATCATATTCCTCCTGCAGCTGTTTGAAAATGCTAAATTATACATTATCAGAAAGCGAAGTGGAAGAGTTATCAATTATTCAGATATACCTTTGAATGTTTGTACATGAATGGACTATGCATTTTAGACAGAAACAAAGACACAGATGCAGTGTGCTGTAATTCACTCAACTCAGAGGCAAGTATTCACTCAGTCCACATTTTTACACTATATACAAATAATTATGTATAGGCCTAATATAAAATGTAAAAAAAATAAAATGCAATTTCTATACATATATTAATTTTTAAAATGTATACACTACCATTCAAAAGTATGTGGTAAGTACATTTTTTAAAATAGAAATTAATAATAAGGAAGGATACATTAAATTGATCAAAAGTGAAATCAAAGACATTTCTAATTGTTATTTTAAACTTTCCATTCATCAAAGTATTCATTTTGGGGGGATTTCATGGTTTTCAGATAAATAATAAGCAGCTGTTTTAAAAATGAATAAAATCTTGAGCAAATCAGCAAATTAGAATCGTTTCATATCATGTGACACTGAAGACTGGAGTAATGATGCTAAAACATCAGCTGATATTTGATAAATTACATTTAAAAATATGCACTGTAAAAATGAATGCTTTATCTAATAAAAAAAATGTGGCAACAGATTACAAGCAATATTATTAATTACATTTAACAAATTAGAATTGAGTTATAATTAATCAAATTAATTCCTTAAAAGTTAACCATTTAAAATAAGTAAAACTTACAACAACAACCAAAAAAACATAAATTTAAGTCACCATTATGGTGATCGGTGTTTTTTTTTTTTAAATACGGTTTTGTCCTTCAGTGATTCTGCTTGTTAACATCAGCTGTCTTCAATGTTGGCAATTTAAAATAAAGAGTTCTTAATTAATCTTTGGTTGAGGGCCGAAACACCCAGTGAAGGTTGTGTACCACCTGACGACATCTGCTCCTGGCAGAAGGCTACAGTTACCCACAAGGTAACGGAAGAAAGCACCCACTAGGTGTATGTCACAAGCAGCATTTGTGAGCCAATTGGTGAGACATTTTACCGACCCCTAACTTTTGAATAGAAGTATATTTATTTATATTTATTTTATAATGTGTTTTTTAATACATCATTATTACAGTGAAAGAGAAATAACTCTGAAATTCAAAGAGGACAGAGAGGAAAAAAAGCAATGGAAAGTCTCCTCAGGAAATCCCACCCTTTAAAAGGAAATTACAAAGGCAGATTCAGGAAAAAGACAACCCTGTATTTTCCTGTTACATTTCCTAACATAGGAAACACATTTCAAAGCATTTAAATGCATAAAAACATTTAAATAATGATACAAAAAAATGCATAAACGCATTAAAAAATGTCCAATGAAAATTCAAAGAGGACAGTACTTAGAAAGCGGGAGATTGGCTGAACAGCCCAAAAATAAGCACACAAAGTGAAAACAGCTGTGCTTGTACTTGAAAGCATTGTCAAAGAGCAGAGTGTTCAAACAGGATCACCTGCGTCTGACTCACACTGGAGAGTCTGGAGGGTCGCAGGACTCCGATCCGCGAGTACACCTCTGCATCCGAGCTGGCTCCACATGATGGGTGAGGGCTGGGTGGGGTGGTGTGGATGATGGGGGGAGGCACGTAAAACACTGGCGGTGGAGGTGGAGGAGTGTGGCGGAGAACAGGTGGAGGTGGGGAGGGAAGAGAGGGGGTCACTACAGGCAGGCTGGGCTCTTTTAGATCATACTGAGCCATGTGGTAGAAGCCGAAGTATTCCAGAGCATTCCCGGCCTGAGCGACGCGGAGCCTGTGGCGCAGCAGGAGCACCCGATACAGCAATGCCAAGATCAAAAGCCCAGCCAAGACCACCCACAGCACAGCCAAACCGAGCTCAGAGTCCCAGCAAACACGGGGCAGAGTCGAGATCCCACAGGCCACGGCGGATTGATTCACAGATGATGGCTTCCTGAGAGGGACATCAGCCAAAACAATCAGGGTTCTGTCGGTACTTTCAGTGGGCATAGCTCCCGTCACTCCAGGCACGTGTTTCTCAACCACACCTGCTGTGAGAAGTGTCCGGGCAGTGGCGAATGCAGTCGACAGAACATCTGTTCTGGAGAATGTCGACTCCTAGTGCTCAATTAAAACAGCAATGGAACAGAATGAACCTTTGTGTGACTGACTGAAATATATACGTGGTTAACCTGCTGAGATCAGTCTAGTGAGCTGGCCATCCTGTGGAGATCTAAGGTCTAATATAGAATTTAATCAAAGGCTTCAGTGAGTCTTGCACACTAGAGAGCTGATGAGGCTGAGCCAATATTGAAACCATTTGTGAGGCAGTTGAGCCGTTGTGTTATATCTACAGACTTTGCAACACAGTCTAATCATTCCGTATTATGAGGTTTGCATAACTTATAACACTGTGGAAATTAAATATTTGTGCAGAAATGAAAGGTTAAATGGATTAAAAACTTACTTTTTACAGCATTCCATAGACGCCAAGTATAATGACTGAGAGTTGCGCTCTGAAAAGCATTTGTCATGGAAGGAAATTCAAAGAGAGTTCAGGAAAACATTCCACGCAGGCCTGACTGGGGATTGGCTGAACTCATTATCTCTATGGTTACAGGAAACAGGCAAAGGATGTTGGTCTGTATTGCAGAGCAATTCTTACGTGAGAGGAAAGAACAGACTCTTGCCCGAGTCCTTGTAAAAGTGAGTCACATATACATGTGAAACCCATTAAATGTTGTTGACAGCTTTACAGTGCTGTTTACTTTTTGTGACTTCAACTCAAGTATTATTTTAAAGTCGAATAAAAGCAAAGAAGTGTCTCAGGTCTAAAAGCTAAAAGGTTCCTGAATTGAGAAATGAAAAATCTTTTGACATATAACATAAAATCTATTTCAAATAAATGTTGTTTTGAACTTTCTATTCATTAAAAACTATTAAAAGGTTAGTTGGTCCAACGGGTTTGGGACGACATGAGGGTGAGTAAGTTTTTCATTTTTGTGTGAACTATTACAACTGCTTACAGCATTGATAATAATGAGAAATGTTTCTTCTAATGCAACAAATCAGCATATTCGAATAATTTCTGAAGGATCATGTGACACTGAAGACTGGAGTAATGATGCTGAATATCCAGCTTTCGGAAATGAATTACATTGAAAAAAAGTTAAAATGGAAAACAGCTATTTAAAAATTGTAATAATATTTCACAACATTACTGTTTTTACTGTATTTTGATTGAATAAATGAAGGAGAGCATAAGATACTTTTTTTCCTCAAAGCATTTCCTTTCAACTCAAAGGCAAAATTAGAATTCAAGAAATCTATATTAAAAAAATAGATGAATCAATAATATTTTAATTATCCATCGCCCACTTTTCTTTTCATGTGTGGATGAAGAGACATCTCTGATGAAAATCAATTTTTGTTTGAGTACAGTAATGTGAAGGGACAGACAGAAAAATCATAGTTAATCAAAGGACTCTTATGCAATTCGGCTATTGAAAAATGCACAGCTCAGTTGAGGATGAGGTGCAGCTCTAAAGGCTTTGTGTAGGAAGCAGTGTGCAGTTGGCATTGGCTCCGCTGTGGTCTCAGCCACCTGGAGCTCTCCTCAGGCACAGCACTGCGAGACAGATTAAAGCCACTTTACAATCACTCGTGTGTTCCCTGATGGACAGGTGGGTTAGTATGAACCCAACAATAATAAAAAAAAAAAGCTCTCAGAGGCCACTGCGGGTTACCAGAGTTACGTAGGTGCTGCAGGACTCAGTAAGCGCATGTCAGTATCACAGCAGAGTCTAAAAACTTGCAATTGGGAGAAATAAAGTCCATTTGGAGATATAAAGACGAGATCGTTTTAGAGATAGTTTTATTTCATTACATCTATGACAGTGTGCTCAATCTAATCTTGTCACTTCACATTACTAACTTACAAATTTCCATTTAGCCACAAGGGGTATTTATTTTAGGGGACAAAAACAGGTCCTTGCGTGAAACCATTTAGATGTTGCCCAGAAGAATAATTGTTTTTTCCTGCTATGAAAGTGAAGCAGGATTGAGCTGTTTGTCTAAATTGCTGTGGAGAAGATGCTATAGCACCTATAGCTCTTGACACAGAATCCAATCTTTCAAATAAATAAAGAGGAAAATTGAATGGTTACTTGTAAGTGGATAATAAATAAAACTATAAGTAAAGTTTTAGAATTTGAAAACATGTAAAACAAAGAAACATTATGATAAAAAAATATTGATGATTTAGAACTACTGTAAAAAATAATCCTGTAAAAAACGGTGAAATACTGGCAGCTGCGGTTTTTACCGTAAAAATGTTACTGTTTGTGAAATTAACAGCTAAATACCGTATGGTCAATGTCAACTACAGTATACAACTTTAATTTAGCTATATGCTCTAGCACAAAAACAGTAACACACGGTATAGTAACGGTATGATGCTGGCAACCACAGCTGCCAGTAGTTTACCGTTTTTTACAGGATGTTTTTTTTACAGTGTAGGTCTGTAGTAAGCAAATTTGTCACAATGACCATGACAATGAACATTTCATACTTTCAAGTGATCCTAATTTATATTATAAAATAATATTATTACGTTATACATCAAATAGACTGATGTAATTCTAATTTTCAAATGGACATAACTGAAAGATCAGTGAGGGAATTCAGTTGTGCGTTGATTCATTCACTCATTGTGAGGTTGAAAGAATGTTGCTAATTTTTTAATATTTTCGACGGATTGAAATAGAAACCTGTTAACCAGAGTCATTTTACGTGAATTGGACGTGATTGCCTGCGGATAACACTGGTACATAGCCTAACAAGACTATATCTGATTAAAACCGCACAACTTTTCAACTGGATTTTAAATTATCGCACATTTCATTGTTCGATATGAGCCCTGAAAAGTGGAACATACTGAATACTAAGACAATAAAAAATCATTTAAATTGCACACATAGACATACATGAAATAATAAAGGTTCTTTATTGGCATTGATGGTTCAATGAAGAAGCTTTAACATTCATGGAACAGTTCGATTGCACAAAAGCTTCTTTATAGACAACTGTTCTTCAGAAAAAAAAGAAAAAAAACTTCTTTAAGAATGCAAAAACGGTAAATCTATATGGCATCGCTGTAAAACGCCCCTTTTGGAACGTATATTTTAAAAAGCGTAAAACGTTATTCTGAAAATTGAATTAGCGTTTTCACTAGTGCTATCAGACCTCTGGACCCCAGTGTATCTTCTAGTGAAGCATGTGATGCCTGAACAATGGTGCTTGAGCTGATGCTCTCTGCTCTGACTGACGCACATCATGTCTCTTATCACAGACCGACACTGTTTCCAAGCTCTCCGTCCTTCTTCAGAAAGTAAGTTGTGACCAGTTCATCACAAACCATGCGGAACATTACAATTTGTGTATCATAGTGTAGGTTTACAAATGTACGCAAGAGAACATTTCACTTAAAACTACACCCATCAGAGTTTTTAAGTGTTGGACATCATGAATCCATTATCACTGCGAGTGTGTGTAAAGAATAGCGTTTTGATCAGTGGTGGTTGCAGTATTGAGATGTCACTTCACATCCAAACAACTCTCCTCATGCATTTTTTATAGTTCAGCTGAGCAAGATTGCATCCCAAGGAGAAGATGGATATACTCAGAACAACATGGTGTTGTCAGGGCTGGAGTGCTATGAAGCAGCATATGCCCAGGGGCTCATGGGAGTTATCTGTCAGATCATCTTAATACACAGAGATGGACAGGACAAATGTCATCCAGATATCACCTCTAGACACAGGCTAACCCGTCGGCACAGGCTGTTTGAAAAAAAAAAAAAAATGCCTGCCTTTTCCCAGCAACTCAAACCACATGAGCAACATTCACAACCTTTACAACACAGAGAGGAACTCACTCTAACACAGTCTCATCCCAAGGAGTCATATAACTGACGTCTTGGGACGTCTTTTGATCTTTTTTGGGTACCCTTAAACATCGGGTACATGACGATCCTGGGCCGTCATACAACTGACTCTTTACCTTTAACGTTGGTAAGGGTGATGGGGTAGGTTTAGGTCTGGGGTGGGGTTAGGATCCGATAACGTCATCTAACCGACGTTTAAGGTTTCCCTAAAAAGGCGGATGTTGACGTATGGTCATAAGACGTCCCAAGACGCTCACTCACAACTGAGGGGAAAGACTGGAAAACTTTGTAGCGATTCTGTATGCTCACTGTAAAATAGGTGAGTAACACTTTACTTGAAGGGGTGTGCATAAGACTAACATGACACCTTCATAATCATGACATGACATACGTTTTATGCATGTTTATGACAACTGTCATTAAAGTCCCCGTGAACCGGAAGTTGCAAACGACTTTTCTCCAGTGTTGTGACGTATTTCCGAGAGAAACGGAATACTAAATGAGGCAAAATAGTGGGCGTGGCTTTTTTTTTCAACTAGCACCTGATTGGATCTAGAAAAATGGGTGTTTCATTCTGAAATGGAGGATGACTCCATTGTCTTTCGCTCAATAATGACATTTTTAACGCAAATATGACATTGTTTGAGATGTCTTTGTTAAGACATCTTGACATAAACCAATACATCATAACCTGTCAGTGTCTTTGTCATGACAACTGTCATTTTACCAACACTGCAGCGAACCTACAGATGTGTACTTCATTTCATGCAATTCATGGTACGTTCTTGAGGCCCCCGTACACGGACTTGTCAGTGAAGAATAAGAGAAAAGAGGCCGCTATGAGATTGAAGGGACTCTTGATGCTGAAGAGGGAAAGAGGGAAGTGCAATTTGAAATATTTGGTGGTAATCAGCTCTCTTTGATATGAAGATACCAGCATGTGGAGATTTTTTTTTTGACATGTCTACATAGCAGCCCACTGATGGGCACTTCAGAGAGCCCAAGCCGTGAACTGCAGACATGGATCTCACTCAGTCGCATGACCTCAGTGATTTGCCCTGGCGTTTAATGAAGCCCCTGGTCCAAAGAAAGCTGGTTCAATCGCCTCCACGCACCCGCTCATAAATATTTATCTCATCAGTGACAAAAGGATTTTCTCACTATCATTATGTCCTTTGTAAGTCAAATAGAAATGGTGGTGTGTGTGTGTGTGTGTGTGTGTGTGTGAGAGAGAGAGCAGTTCTCAACTTTTGTCATTTAAAAATTGAGTAGAGAAGTGATTTCTGACCTCCAAACTACTGTAATGCCATCAAAATGTATGTGTGAAATTTCTTATTGCAAATACAACCTAAATACTGAGAATATTACAATACTATAATCATTAATTGCATGTACAGTGGGGTCCAAAAATCTGAAACCACCAGTGAAAATATGTCTATTTAGCATTTTTCCACAAAAGAAATTATACATCTGTATATCAATATCTGCAGTTGTAATCAAAATTATTCATCCCCCATTCCAAATCAGGTTTATTAGCAAAATGTACAGAATTTCAGCTGTTGGCAATGAACAAATCATACAAAAGTAATTGAAATGGCTCGACAC